TGAGCCAGGCCAGGATCCATTGGCCTTCTTGTCCCCCTGGGAACACTCTGGCTCCTGTTCAGCTCCCTGTCACAGCTGGCTCAGAGTGGAAACATTTCTTTGTTTTTCTTTAGTGCCCCACAGCAGAGTGCAATGGGGTACAGAGCCATAAATCCCTGGGGATCTGTGCTGTGCTTTCACAGCACAGGGAGTTGCCTCATCCTCTCAGACCTGTTAAAGGGACAGGTGAGTGGGCAGTGTTGCATCTGACAGCCCAGTGGTCTGTTTGCTCCTGAGTTCCAGGCAGGCAAAAGTGGTTGTAAAGGGAACTGCATTCCGCTGTGTTTCCCCTCCTTCTTCGAGGTTTAATTGTCCTTGGGAAACTATGAGTTTTGTCCCTCGGTAGTGCCTTATTACACCCTGATGAAGATATGCACCCCTGGAAAGAGCTTGCGCAGCTTCACTGGCTTGGTCAGGGTGGAGGTATAGCTGTGGTTGGCTCCCCTTAATGACACATCTAATGAGGCTGTCTGCTGAGCCTGGCTCCTACCAAAAAGCCTCCTGTTCTCAGCAGTTCCTGGTCAACCAAATGGAACACACATCTCATTCCTGCTCATTCACACCAGCGGGTCTAATGCCTTTAATTTGTGGCACAATTAAATGTAATGAGAGAGATCAATAGATAACATGCCCATTATTTCGTTCAGAAAATGCCTCTTAAATGAGGTGATTCAGTTCAAATCAGGTACCACTGTAAGCAGCTCTAAGAGGAACCTGAGGTTGAATAGAGCTGTGCTTCCACTTACAAATGTGTGCATCTTTCACATGGAGGGCTGATCATCAGATACTAATTCTAATATAAGTGCTGACATGTTTTCATCTAGGGAACCCCTATAACCTTGTTAACAACCTCCTGGGAGGAACTCAACCAGTCACAGCCTTTTTGTCTACTCCAAGTCTGTGGTCTCTTGTAGAACTCTTGAGTTTAAGTTTCATATTTCTTCCTCACAGTGCCTGCACAATCCTTCATGAACTCTTAGACATTCTTCCTGTCAAGATTTTGAAAGTCTTTGCACATTTACTAGAGATCAACTTACCTCTGGACAAACAGTCTCAATGAGTTGAAATTGTTTTTAAGACATTTATGAAATGCTGGGGGCAAATATATAGGTATCTTGTGATTCTTTGAGAGTTGCTTATTCCCAGATCTCTTGGGAGCTCTGGCTCTTGAGGGCTTATGTATTAAGTCAACAATGAAGTCTCTAAACAACAGCAGAAGAAGGATTTGTTTTCAGCAGAGCTGTGCAACCTCAACCCAAAAAATACAAGATGACCCATAAGCCAAGTCTGCTGAGGCACTTGTGTGATGGCAGAGTGAAGTCTGCACAAAAGGCCTGAATTATGAACCTTGCCTGAGACTTTGCCCATCACAGTAACACTCCAGGCACATTTCATAGCAGTCATCTCTGGGCTGTAGCTCTGTCATGAGTTATAAATTGGATCTTTCTTTGGTGCATACATACTTAGATTGCATCAGAAAGGACTGACTCCTTAAGACTGAAAAGTCACAGATAAAAGAATGTGACCTTCTGAAGTGATTTCCAGTGTGACTTATGGATTCTGCAGCATTATTGCAGTTATTCTGCAGCTCAAGAATGAAGGCCATATAGGTAATGGGAAAACAAAGCAGAAAGCAAAAATGTTTTATTTTTGCTGAACAGTTTTGTTCAGTATACAATAAATTAGTCTGGCAGGTTCTATCCTCCTTCAGCCTGATTTTGTGTAAGTCCTCACATAGATTTTGCTTTGTTGTACATTTATAGGAAATGCATACCTAAAAAGCTGTTAATTGTCATGTGATTCCTTCTAGTAGGTGTTTTGATGACAGCTGTGCTAGAACCAGTTCTGTTGCCAGTCTTTTAGGTCTGAAGTGTTGGTGTGAAGGTGCCTTGTCTACATTAAATGCTCTCCAACTTCTACCCATGCTAGGTCTTGGTAGGAGCTTGTATTGCCCAGGCACTTGTCTGAATTTCCAAAGGCTTCTATTGACCTTAATTTAGTTGTATATTATTATCCCTAGTAGAACGAACCATGAAGATAGACCAGAAAAATAAGCATATCTACTGCAATTGATTATCTGAGGCAGTAATTTGTGTTGTTAGTATCTTTGTTGCTTTTACTTTGGGAATGGAACACCAGAAGAGATTGTTTAATTAGAGAAGATGTGCTCCAGCTAAAGCACAAGTGGAAAAAGGTAATATCCCTTGGTTTGTTTGCTAGTAGTCAGTTCTCATGGACCCCAGCTGGATTTTCCTGCTATTTGCTGGTACAGCAGCTTCCTTGTTAGCTCCAGGGATGGACTGAGCTTTGACTGCATTTGTGCAACCACAGATGCAGATACTCTTTGAATTAAGCTGATTTTGGAGACACACTTAGGTATACACTTACAATTTTCCTTTTCCTTGTTTTTTTTTTTGGTCGAGTACACTGAGATCTGCAAGTAAACAATATTATATATTCTGTCTTTCTCTCTCTCTCTTCATGTGTTTTCAGGCAGTTTTCATACCTCCACTAAATCTTCCATGCCCTTCCTCAGTTGTTTTTCCTTCCTTAGTGCCTTCTCCCTAATAGGACAGCCTTTTATTTTTTTGCTCTAATTAAGTGATGCCCATTTCACCAACTGATCCTTTTTTTCTCATTCCCTCCCCAGCAAACATCCCAAATCTCTCCTTCACGTGGCTAGGTTGTGATTGTAGTTTGAGAGATAGGTCATCTGTGAGTCCTTGGCTAGGGGCAGGAAATTAACTGCAAGGTCAGCTTTCTGTT